TCCTTTCTCAGATTGTATCTATATTCTCTGAGTGAAGATGTTTCTATATTTGTGCCAAATATATATCTTACCATTAATTTTTGATGTCTTTCCTTTCCAATAGGGCCTTAACTGGATTGCTGTGAGTTTTCTGGGCTGTATGGCCATGTTCCAGAGTTTCTCTGGAACATGACCATACAGCCTGGAAAACTCACAGCAACCCAGTGATTCCGGCCATGAAAGCCTCTGACTACACAGGGCCTTAATTGTTGTGCCCAATGTGGTTCTTTATACAAGAATTTGCAAACACTTGTTCAGGCATATTACTAGGCTTCTTCTTCCAAGTTGAAGCACTCAATTCTTTAACTTTCTATACATTATACCAGTTTATAATATATATCATCTTCCTGTGAAGTTGTCAGTTGTTGTATTTACACTGTGGAAATAGCAGTGGACTGTGGAAAATCAACTATTATTTAAAACTCTTTGCAAACAATGACATCTCAACTTTTGAGGAATTGAGATTAAAGTGGGTATGTTTTGCCTGAAGCACTAATGACCGAGAAATGAGGTGATAATAACCATCTTTAAATATCTGGATGTTACATGGAAGATGGTGCAGGCTTGCTTTTTTCTTCTCTATAGAAAATAGGGTTTCACGTCAGTGCATCCAAATGACTAGAAGGAAGATTCTGAGTAAAAATTATAAAGAGTATCCTGATGTAAGAACACTGACTGTGGAATTAGCTACTTCAGGAGATTGATGGACTTTTCCCCATTGGAGGTTTTGAAACACAGGTTGGATGATAATCTCACAGGGCTGCTTCAGCTGTGGATTCATATGTTGGTAGAAACATTCGACTGAGTGCACTTTTTTCCAGCTCTGTGATACCAAATAATGAAAAGAAGCAGGAGAGGCAGGCTAGTGAGCTTCACTGAAATCAGTTTTTATAAAGTAGAGCTACTATGAAGAAGACACTATTTTTTGCCCGAATAACTAGTGACCCAAACATTTTCCCTCCACTTAGAATTGGTAACTCTTTCATTACCACAATCCATAACATTATTATAAAACATTTAGCAGATGAAGTTGTTCTTTTTCAATATCTTAGTGTCAACCCCTCAATCTTTGTTGATTTTCTTCCTATTCTGCAACTTTCAAACATTCCAGATTTTTTAAAAGATAAATATATTTTAATGGTACCACATGTAAAGAGCACCCAGGAGAACTATGTTATATAATCATATTATGCATTTGATAGGTGACTTTTTCCCATGATGAACATGGTCAAGTTAGGTGGTCCTCAGTTAAGTGACAAAATTATTTAGCAGGATAAGTTTTCTCATTCCACATTTCAAATACCTTTCAATCATTTACATAACATTGCAACATGGAAAAAAGGGATTAACAGGAAGACATTGGTTATCATATGTTTTTAATGGTTTTTGTATTGTATTGATTTTATATTGATTTTATAATGCTGTTTTAAATGTTTTAATTGTATTTTGTGGATTTTTATGGCATCCAATTGCTGCCAATTTGTAAGATGCCTTGAGTCTTCTTCAGGCTTGAAAAAGACAGGATAGAAATATCGTAAATAATAAGAAAGATTTTATTTATGTTTTTATGTTTGTAATTGCAATAATTTACCTATGCTGGAAAGCACCCTGAGTCCCCTTGGGGAGATAGAGCAGTATACAAATAGAAGTTTATTATTATATTACAAAGCAACCAGTATACATCTGAGATGAGATACATCATCTTACTTCACAACTGGCACTAGAAAATGGTGTTTCTTGGCTATCTCATTGACTTTCCACCCACCTTAATTAATATCAAAATTAGGGATGCTTTTGTTACTTTAGTGCCAAGTCAAAACATAGTTTTTATTAAAGCATATGTGTTTATGTTTGCATTTTATCAAATTATTTTGAACTGGTTTTAAATTGTTTTGTGTTATGTCTTGAATTGTTTAATATGCTTTTAGTCTTTCAAATTCTTCTCTTAAACTGTTCCCGACTGATTTTGTGGTGGTATGCCACCCTGAAGTCATTATAGGATAGGATATAAATACTTTCATTAAAAATTAAGGAAAATATTCTCAGCAAAATCAGGGCTCTTGGAAGTTTGCTTTTCCCCTGGGTGGAGAGCTGCATTGTTTGCTTAACTGTTAAGTCTATAGTCCACCAAATGGTGTTCAAAATGGCATTACTTAGGGATCTCTTACATATGTCATATATTTGGCATTGAATTTGTGAACAAACTGCAACAATAAATACATCCAGCAGGAGTTATTATTTATTTATTTATTTATTTCATTCACTTATACCCCGCCCTTCTCACCCCTAGGGGGACTCAGGGCGGCTTACATAAAGGGCACAATTAGATGCCCACAATTAGATGCACAATTAGAGTTACAGTATATAATTTGTTAATTCTACATGCCTCTTGCTGATATAGAAACTTCAAACATATAAATGTAACACTGTGGAAAGTCTTCAGAACCATGCCTAATAGAAAGTGGAAGTATAAAATGCATATTTCAAAAGACAAATCCCATCTGGACAGGGTCCAGGTCTCTCACTTCAAGTCTGTGCATGTTTACTTAGAAGTAAAATTCTGTAGAAATAGTGACCTCATCAGATGGGTTGATTTGCACGACATACACTGCTTGCTGTCCACTTGCAACATGGAGTCCATTATATGTTGCACAGGGACTTCTGGCTGGGCTCCGTGCTGAAAGAGGAAAGCATGTGGTGCATGTCACCACTACAGCAACACAGGTTTCCTGTGTAGCCTTAGGAGCAATGGGGGAAGCCAAGCAGCGATGCTTCCCCTGTGGGATGTGGGTCAAGGTAAGGTGGGTGATGCAGGGCGTGGAACGATGGGTTCCCCATGCTTGCCCGCTTCCCCTCAGCTGGGAGGCCATGGATTTGTGATGATGCAGGTGAATCCATTGGCCTTTGTGATGAGGTCCTTAGGAACAGTTCAGAGGAAAGAGTATAGTTCTAAAGAAAATATATACATTTATTATACTATGGAGAAGCTACATGTCTATATTACCATATTTATATGATTAATGGTAGTAGTTTTTAGATAGAATATTATTTTATATGTCTTACTAGATGGAAAGCAAAGGCAAACACAAGTTTGCAAAACCAGCAAAGACATATAAACCTGCAGATGGTTCATGGGTTATGAACTGGAGATAATCTCATCAGAATATAGATCTTATAATTGGGAAGTAGATAGGTAAAAATCCTATGATGTCACATAATTTGTGGAAGTCATGTCATAACTGATACTTGGATCTAGTCACAATTTTACACAGATAGAAGTGAGAAAAAATATTGCTTCCGGACTGACAGACATTTAAGAAAATTTGCATACATGCTGAAATATGTAGGAATCTCAATTAGTCAAATTTGAGGGACTTAATAAAAAGAAGTAATTTTGATTCAGATACTGAATGTAAAGCTGAATTATTATTAGCTGAAGATACAGAATAATACAGAAGATACAGAAGAATTTAAAAGTTATGATGGTTCCGGTTGGTTACGCTCACGTCAGTGTACACACTACTGTAGTCCTCATGTTATTGTTGAAAATTCTCTTCAGAGAGTAGAGTATAAAGCAAAATGAAATAAATGGTATATATACATATTTTTCTTATATACACACATTTTCATAATTGGTTTGTAATATGCATGAAGTGCCCACACCTTATATAGATATACATATAGATGTCTAGAGTTAATCCAAAGTCTTTGAAGTGCATCTCCCTTAATTCGACAGGGCTTTCTCCCAAGTAATTGCTTTAAGGATTGTATCCTTAGATAATAGATAATACTTTCAATAGAATTTTGTGTACATTCTAATTGTGTCATATATATATGTGTGTGTGTGTGTGTGTGTGTGTGTATCCTATCCATAGGCATAGGCATAGGCATAGGCATATATTAAACAATACAAAAAAATAAACTCTAGACATTCCTATGCAATTCAGCAGGAGCACTGTTTTCAGAAACCAAAGTGAAATATATTTACAGTATTTACAGAACAATAAATAACCCTAGGAGAAGAATAAATAATTATTATATGTTACTTATTTCAAAGATTGCTAACAAGAACAAGAATAAAAAAACCCTTTTCAATGTGTCCCTTTATATATTTAATGTGTCCCTTATACAAAGAGACAAAATTAAAGTCTGTTTGGGGGATTTTAAAAATCAAGCTGTGGATGTTTGAATCTATGGATACAGGGGGCCAACAGTACTCCTGAGATATGGCCATCCAAGCTCTCTTTAAAGACCTCCAAAGAAGAGAGTCCTTCACATTTTGAGGAAACAGAATACAATCTCCATGTAAATAGAAAAGTCCACTAGCTCTGCAGTGATGATAAGATAAATATTTGTATAGCCAGAAAAAAATGTAGTGGGCAGGATCTTATCTTAATTGCATGGTCTAATTAACCTGGACATAAAAATCTTATCTTTCATTTTAAACTGAACTGACAAAACGTATTGTTCTTGTATTTAAATATAAAAAGTTATGGAGAATGATATGGGATTTTCTGAAATGTCTAGATACAGGACCCAAATGACAGATTCATTCAGAACACAACTCTTGACTGTGTGAATTTTGTTTTCACCACTTCTTCTAAAGTCAAACCTAATTTGGCTTTAGATTGCAATAGATTGCAATACAATTAAAGAACTACACAACGTAAACCTTTTGAACAGCAACACCAGACTTTACAGAGAAGTCTACAAGCTTATCATGCTCACAACATAATGTGGTGCCTTATCAGTAAAGACAGGTAGAGATAAAGGAACGGAAATGCCAGTTTCCCATTCATTAAATTACATCACTAATCTTATACATGAAACACTAGCATGAAACCTCCAAGCTCTTTGAATATCACAGATGTCACACCATTTAATAATAACTTATATTTTGCTTAATATTCTGTTGGAAAAGCCATAAAGACAAATCTAATATTAATCTTATATATACTTACAGGGGGAATGAGGGGGAATCCTTCCATTTTGCAAGCTTGCAACATCCAGCCAACTTCTTTGTGAACTAACTGTCTAAATTTCAATTGTCCAGTTTTTTAAAAGAAGACATCAAAGAAAATTAAAATTAAAATAGAAATCCTGGGAATCTGTGAAACCCCTTTGTAGTGAATAACCCAAGGCCACTGAAGGCCCTATTTAATTTTCAGACTTTCCCACAAGAGTTCTAAAGGTGAGCTTCTTCCCTAGATGTATCTAAAGTTCCTGATATTGCCAAGTAGTCCTTGGGTTGTGGCAGCCCAGTGTGATGTCAGAGGCAGTTCGCATCAATCTCATTGCAAGGGGCTGTGGGGTGGTTAAGAGGAAGTCTGTCGCCACGCTGATCAGCCATAGGCAGGTTCTTTATGAAACCAACAACAAACATCATTGCTCAGGCTGTGACAAAACTAAAATAAAAAAAATAGTCAATCTTCATGACACAATGCCTGTGCTACATCAGAGATGCATCTCTGATAGACCTTATTCGTGGACTAACATTCTGCCTCATTGACTTCACTGGAACAGTGCATGGGTGGCAACCCCCAAAATAAGAACGGCTATGATAATAAGCCCAGCATGATTTTTCAGGATTTTGAGGATGCTTTATAAGCCCTACTTCAAAAATAAGTCCAAGTTATAGTTCATTAAAAAAGTAAATTTGGAAAAAAATAAGACATCCCCTGAAACATATTGCATCCTTTGGTGCTAAAATTAATATAAGACCCTGTCTTGTTTTCCAGGAAACAGGCTAGTAGAAGAGGTAAGCCCAGGCCCTTGGGCTCTTTTTTCAGGCCCTCTTCTCTCTCACCATCCTATCATTCCTTCCTTCTCTCTTTCACTCCTTTTCTCCCTTCCTTATCTCCTTTTTCTCCTTTCATCCTTCCTTCCCTTCCACCCTTTCATCCTTCCTTCCCTCCCTCCCTCTTCCCTCCCTCCTTCCCTCTCTCCCTCTTTCTCTTTCCTCTATTCTTCCCTCTTGTCTTTCCCTCCTTTTCTCTTTCCTCCCTCCCTTCCCAACCTCTTACACCCTCCCTCCATTCCCACTGTTTTGTCCTTCCTTCTCTTTCCTTCCTCCTTCCCTTCCTTTCTTTCATACTATCCTTTCGTCCTTCCTTCCTTCCTTCCTTTTTTCCTTCCTTCCTTCCTTCCTTCCTTCCTTCCTTCCTTCCTTCCTTCCTTCCTTCCTTCCTTCCTTCCTTCCTTCTCTCCCTTCCCTACATTTCCTTCCGCCCTTCTTTCCTTCCTTCTGTTTTTCCTTCCTCCTTTCCTCCTGGGAGAAGTTTAGCAGGGAGAAGAGAAGGTAGAGAGGGAACGTGAGAACCACGTTTCAAGATTTAAAAGGGAGTCCCATTGAGGAGGGGAGGAAAATGACATTCTGCTGCTCTAGAGACCTGGACAGAAGGGAGCAATGGTTTCAAATGGCAGGGAAAGAGAAGAGGAAGCGGGGGAAAGGGCAGGGAGGGGACTTGGGGAGAACACCCTCCCTCTGGGCCCTCCCACCCTGTTCTGGTGTGCCATGAGGCCCCCAAGTTTGCTCTTCCCTGCTATATGCTCATGTATCAGTCTCGAAATTTAAATTTAAAAAATCAACCCAGAAACCCTGGATCAACTTATCTACAACTCAGTATGAATACTTTACCCTACCTTTTACCAAAAAAAGTGAACAATCCTGTTCTCTTGAGTACAGTGGCAAAAGTTTAGTCCATCCCTGGAGAACGTAAAAGAAGCACCTATCCCTCATCTCTATTCTCTCCACCATGGCACCATTTTGAATAACTGGGTGGGGAAACAATGGTTGCAGCAGCCAGGGACCACTTCCTCATATAAGGTGTTTCTTGAAGGTTAGTTGTCCTTAGGCCTTGGAAAGAAGAGGCATCAGGATGGATCTAAAAGACCCTCAGTTAGAATCCATCCAAATAATGTCATCAAAGCTAAATAATATTTGTGGGGTTGCCAAATAAGAATGGACAATGAAAATTTGTTAAACCTTAATTATACTAGAAACCATAGTTTTACACTGTTTCAGCTGCAATTGGCTTCAGTTCTCGGATGTGTAGCCTGCTGGAATGATGAAAATGTTCTGTTAGAAATACTAACCTCCCTCTCATAACTAAAATTTCCACACTTCCTTGTAAAGTGTAAAAGTATGTACAGAGGTGATACTTTTAGACATCGAATATTTATGATGTAGAGAGCCTCTACTTTTTTACCTTTCATTTTTTCATTCCCACAAATTATTCATCTTGATAGCAACGTTTCTGAGAAAAAATGAAGGTTATTATTTATAGATGTTAACCTATAAAGCCCTAAATGGTTCTGGCCCAGTTTACCTATCCGAACGTATCTCCCTCTACAACCCATCTAGGACCCACCTTCCTCACAGCCGTGTTTGGTGAAGATGAGAGACAGGGCCTTCTCCGTGGTGGCCCCTCGGCTGTGGAACCCCCTCCCTAATGAGGTTAGATCCACCCCCTCCCTTTTGACCTTCTGGAAGAAACTTAAATCCTGGTTATGGGATCAAGCATTCACAGAATAGTTGTTTTACTGGGAAGACAAGATTTTATTGGATTGTACTTGGACTGTTTTGGATGACGATTTTAATATGGAGATTTTAATCTGGTGAACTAGTTCTAATGTATATTTTTAAACTATTTTAATATATATGGATGGATTTATTATGTGTTTTATATCATGCTTGACAATCAATTGTTGCCTGTTTGGAAGCTGTTTTGAGTCCCTCCTCGGAGGTCGAGAAGGATGGGGTATAAATGCCTGAAATAAATAAATAAATAAATATTAGTTCTTAAACTTTTAAAAATCCATATTCTTCTTAATCTTTTTTCTCCTCCTTCTCCTCCATCTCCTCCTCTTCATAATGACCATATCACACCATTTAACCAAAACTGGGAATCCAAATTAGCCACAGAAGTATTGAATCAAAAAAAGACAGTAGAACACATAGAGGTCAGTTTCTTAAATTGTTTATTTACTGGGGTCTGAACAGTGTTATTAACTTGCCCCACAGGGTTTTCTCTAGGCCAAGTGAAAAGAGGTGACTAAAGGACTAAGTTGTGCTTAAGAGGTCAGTACACTATTGCTTCACTCTTTGTCAAGTAGCACAGAGTTTGGAGGTTTGAGAAACGGTATGTAGAAATTGTGCTGGGGAGGAGAGGAATCGCTGGTTTTCAGGTAAAAGTGTTTCCTCAGTTCAATTAAGCTTCCAGTAATGTAAGGATACAGAAGTGTAGGAATCCAGTTGTTGAAGAACTCATTATCCGTGATTATTGGTTTGGGGTAGCTGAGGATGATGGAATTCAATAACATCTTACAGTCATGGGGTCATCAGGGCAAATGTGATGAAACCTCTCCTTAGAATACTTACTTGGTTACAATACATTTTATTTTTTAATTAAATATATTAATAAATACACAAACACATACAATACTAGTAATATAGAAAATACCAAACACTACCACAAAGTACAGCAAGACACAAATACGAAAACAGAAAAAAGAGATAAATAGGGTTGCAGTGCATTCTTAACTGTCTTGTTGAAAGCTTTCATGGTCAAAATCACTGGGTTGCTGTGAATTTTCCAGGCTGTATGGCCATGTTCCAGAAGCATTCTCTCCTGACGTTTCACCCACATCTATGGAAGGCATCCTCAAGAGGTTGTGAGGTCTGTTGGAAACTAGGCAAGTGTGAATGTTGCAATTGGCATTAAATGCTAATCAAGGTGGCCAATTGCAACATTCACACTTGTCTCAAACAGACAAGAGTTCTTTTTCCCACCCTGGACATTCCACAGATATAAAAACCTAACTTGCCTAGTTCCCAACAGACCTCACAACCTCTGAGGATCCAAATGCCACCAGAAATATTCCAGCACCTCTAAAAACCTGTTGTTTCCAGTGATAAGATCTTGGACAGTGAAAATAGTTCTAAATTGTCTCTGTGGTAGGGACCTTGCTTATGAGAGTTTCCAATGTGGAGAGGTTTTGCAAGCACTACTCTCCCGACAGTTCTTTATTCTCAAAGATATGCAGAAGAATCTGGTGAAATGGAGATGCTGGAGTTGGAGCTTGCATATGCACCTTTGCCCTAACTTTTTTAACCCTCATGGAGCTAAAATAGTTTTATAAGTCAATTAGCGACATATCTGCTGAACAATATGGAATACACCAGGAGATTGGGAGATCATTAATTTGGACTGCCTCTGGTCAAAACAAATGCGCAGTTTAAATGGAGAGAAAAAGATAACTCTGGATGCATTTTGTCTCAAACGGCACACAGTAGCAGGAATGGAGGTATATTTTCAGTTTAGGAAAGAATTCTGTGTCAAATGTCATTGGCAGTCATTTGTTATTTTAGTATCTTTGCACAACAGAGTCATGGAAAAGGTCCATGTGTCACAGTTGCCTGCAAGGGTTCAAGTGTTTTAGTATGTGTGTGTGCGCGCGCACATGCCTTGAGCAAGCATTGTTTATGTGGTCACATATAGAAAGGTGAAATACTTAAACCCCCCACCCCACCCCCACCCCCAATAATCCACGGCAAGAAGAGACATTATTTAGCCATTCTTCCCACATGAACATGGAAGAAATCAGGCTTGAGTTGTATCCACTCTGCAGAATTATAGAGACTGGAATTCAGTAACATCTTGCAGTCATTGTGCCATTTGGAACAAGTGTAGAAAACTGTCATGACTAAAAATCCTAGGATTTGTAGTTTACTGAGGCAATAGCTCTCTTTGGCAAAGAAGGTTGCAGGTTTTGTAAAACACCATAGAATGGTTGACACAAACCTTCAAATCCCAGAATTTCATAGCATTGAGTTGTGGCAAATAATATGGAGTCAAACTGCTAAAATTGTGTGGATACAGCAACTGTTGTTGCTAGTAATGGACCTGAGTGCAGAGAATAAATATTTAGAGAATAGTCACCATTCTCACTTCCTCTCCAATACATCCACATGTTGTTGAACCTGACACCACTCACCCCTAAGATTTATAGTTTGTTTTCCTTTTTCCTGTTCTGGGAGAACTCCACATCCCCACAATGAACCAGCAGCAGCCAATATCCCTAAAAGCCCAATTTCCATATATATAGGTCCATAGAGATGTGCTGGTTCGTACCAGCAGATATACAAACTAAGTCTGCAGCAGCAGATCTCTTGCACAGCAAACCCAATCTCCCCTTTTTGATAAAATGTATCCTTTCCTCCTCCAATGTGTCAATTTTGTATACTTTGATTCCCTACCTCCTCTCCGCCCACATGTCTCCCCAATATGCATATACCTATATGCCTATCCA